TATATATATATAATACATATATATATATATATATATATATAATATATATATATATATATATATATATATATATATATATATAGTATATATATATATATATATATATATATATATATGTATATATATATTTTCATATAAATATATTTATACATATATACATAGATATATAGATACATATATACATTCATATATAAATAGATACATAAACAGACTCATACATACATACATAAATACATACATACATACATCAGAGATACATAGATACATAGATACTTAAATACAAATAAATATATATACGTTGATGAATATTTGAATACATACATACACATACATACATACATGCATACATACATACACATACGTACATACATACATATTTATATATACATGCATATATACATATATACATACATACATACATACGTACGTATTGACTCATGTCTTTATGCTTCACTGATCGCAGATCAATTCAGCACCTAGTCCACGGTCTCAGATACGAAAGGCCCAAATAGCCCCCGCGTACAATATACAGGACTTCTCACAAACACGCTTCAAGTCGACGAACACAAAAGGTTGTGGGGTTAAAGCGGTAGACAACGAGGCTGGCGCAAGCACTAAATCACACTCGCAGCCTCAAGATGGGCCTGGTACCGATCACGCAGTGTCAGCAAAGGTTGAAAACGCTGGTCATACTACCAAAGATACGGAAACAAAGACTCATCCCACTGTCATCGGCCGGTCGAAGGCAAGACGGAGCTCCGCGGGATTGCACGCGGAGGGACCGTATGTGGCAGATGAGGCGACTCTGAAGACGCCCCTGCGGAAACGACCCAAAGACGCGTCCGACACAAAGCAAGCCAAGGTACAGTGAACGCCCTGTGCTAGTAGCAGAGTATGTGGCCCTGTGCTAATAGCAGAGTATGTGGGCCTGTGCTACTAGCAGAGTATGTGGCCCTGTGCTAGTAGTAGAGTATGTGGCCCTGTCTGTGCTAATAGCAGAGTATGTAGCCTTGTGCTAATAGTAGAGTATGTGGCACTGTGCTATTAGTAGAGTATGTGGCCCTGTGCTAGTAGTAGTGTAAGTGGCCCTGTGCTAATAGAACAGTATGTGGCCCTGTGCTAATATCAGAGTATGTGGCCCTGTGCTAATAGCAGAGTATGTGGCCCTGTGCTAATAGCAGAGTATGTGGCCTTGTGCTAACAGCAGAGTATGTGGCCCTGTGCTAATAGTAGAGTATGTGGCCCTGAGCTACTAGCAGAGTATGTGGCCCTGTGCTAATAGCAGAGTATGTAGCCCTGTGCTAATAGCAGATTATGTAAATCATTCGGAAGGGGTCCGTTTTGTTTTATTTGTATCGTGGACGAAGGTCATTTTGATAGGACTTTAGGTATGGGGGCCCCCGCCTGAGGTTGTAGGCGGATCCACATCATGGATTTGGTTATCCTTATCTATTGGGATCTATAACATTACATGATCGTATTGGAATGCTAAGAAAAGGTAGGATAGGTGCCAATATGCGAGTGTGATCTCGCTTCCATCTATCACATCTACGGTGTTTTAGGGTTTAGTGGTTATCCTTATCTATTGGGATCTATAACATTACATAATCGTATTGGAATGCTTAAAAAAGGTAAGATGGGTGCCAATATGCGAGTATGATCTCGCTTCCATCTATCACATCTATGGTATGTTTAAAAGAGCAGCCGCAACTTCGTGCGCTGTACCAGATTACGAGATAAACTCGTGGTTGCACCTAACGAACTGTTCGCGCACGGTCCATGGTATGGTATATGCTACAAAACAGCGCACAGTCATCTGCGTCGAAATAGGAACAAACGCTCCCTTTCTATAGCATATAGATGTAGCAAGACACGTGAAGAAGTCCACGATTCAGCAAGGTTTTTACATTTTGGGACAGCAAATCATGAGGGCCAGGCCAGAACGGGAGTATTAGGGGGTGCAGCTAATACCTTCTCTCACCTCGCGCGCTTGCACAGAAAAGGAGGCAGTTGCCACAAGATCCCCGTGCGGAGATGGACTCGCCCCTGACAGCCGGCAATGTATGTTGTATGTGACAGTCTGAGATGTATGTGAACATTCCCTTTGCTTGTCATCGCCGTGGTGCCTCTGTGACCCCTTGAAGAGTATGTGATTCGCTGTTCAATTGAATTAATCATTGAGCGAGTATATGTTTGTGGGAATGTGAAAGCTATTTGAGTTGAGTTGAGGTGTCGATAGGAGTACAGCTGGGTTGGTATACTGTGCTAAACACAAACATTCGTATTCAGTTCAGTGCTTAAATATCTCATAACCCACACACGGCTATTCAGCATACCGTTTGCATTGCATATCTTCTCCATATGACACTCAAGGAATATTCACTAGGCGGGCAGCATAGCCGTATCAATCGCTAAAGTTCATTATGCCGTTGTGTTTGTACATATCTTTCTGCGTGTATCTCGCAGTACCACTTTGCCATCCTATGTATCATCTCCTCACTCAACTTCTTTTATCAATCCGTCCATTGTCACACCCCATCTTGACTGATGATGTGGGATGACCTGTCGCCTACGTCCGTATACGCACGTTCAATAAACCAACTATCAGAACTATCTGGTGCATGCGTACTGCACTGCTGACCTCTTCGATATGGAAAGGCTAGTGCCATTGCTATCTCGTAGGTAAGTCTCTTTATGATGATGCTCATTTAGTGTTGGCGAGCATGTGTAAATATGTCCACTTCGATATGGAAAGGCTAGTGCCATTGCTATCTCGTAGGCGAGTCTCTTTATGATGATGCTCATTTAGTGTTGGCGAGCATGTGTAAATATGTCCACTTCGATATGGAAAGGCTCGTGCCATTGCTATCTCGTAGGTGAGTGTCTTTATGATGATCACTTAGTGTTGGCGAGCATGTGTAAATATGTCTACGTATGCTCATCTACAACCCCCGATGCATATCACAAGGAGTCTATGTACATTAATACGCTTACAGGCTGACGCTGAGTCTATGGAAAGTGTGCGATGTTCCTTCGTTGAACAACATCTGTACACTCAATAACTTGCACAAATTCATATTGATCGCAGGTATGAAGTGAAGGCTGTTCATCCCGAAATCAATACGCGAGAAGTGGTGGTTGTGAAGATGCCGATCTCGGCAGAAACTGAGGTACGGTGTGGTGTTATTTGCAGATGATACAGCACTAATCCTGACCACTAGAGGAATCTTTATCCCGATGTGAATTACCGATCATCGAAGGACGAGCGTGTACACACGTATACACACGTATACACACTTACATACGATACATACACGCACACATACACACATATACACCTACATGCACATACACAGACGCATACACACATACAAACACATCTATATCTATATCTATATCTATAGACATTGGTATAGATATACAATAAAATATAGATATATAAAACACACATACACACTTCAACATATACACACAAACGCACACACACTCCCCCAAACAACGCACACACACACACACACACACACACATATATATATATATATATATACATACAGGATACAGATCTAAATATAGTTATATAGAAATGAGTGTATATGTGTATATGTCGTTTGTGTGTATGTATGTATGTATACATGGTATGTATGTATGTATGTATGTATGTATGTGTGAATGTTTGATGTATGTATTTGGGCATGTGAGTATGCATATATATATATATATATATATATATATGT